TGAACTTGCTTTTCTGATCTTAAATCCCCTAATCTTTTCTTTCAGTTCATGCATGGATCACCAAGTCAAATGTTTAGGGGGAAGGTAGATGATATGAAAGAGAGAAACTGGGCTCGAATAGATCAAGGATTATAAGGATTGCAAGGGACTGGAATGCATACCTCGTCTAAAGGTGTTAAAATGCAACCCATTTGCTATAACTTGAACCACCCAAAAGGTCCACGTGTGAAAGGCTTGGTCCCCAGGGTGGTGCTATGGGGCATGGTGTAGGCCTTTAGGAGGTGGGACCTAGTGGGAGGTCCTTGGAGCACTAGGGGATGCTCTTGAGGGGGATTGTGGGACAGTGGTCTCCCAGGCTTTCTCTCTGTTTTCCGGCTCATGCTGTTGGGAGTTCTATTTCTTCTGCCTTGCTACAAGGCCTAGAGCAAATGGGACCACCCAATCTTGGACTGGAACTTCCAGAACCATGAGCCAAAATCAACATGTTCTCCTTGTAAGTTAATTGCCTTAGGTATTTTATTATAGTAACAGAAAACCGATGAATACAACATTTAAAAAGCAATGGGAAAAAAAGAAACCCATTTATTTTATCACCTACTCAGTGCCCGGTCTATAATCAACCTCTTTGTTGGTAGAAAATGGACAACATTCACGTGGTATTGCCTTTTACAAACTTAACCTTATGGTCCTGGTAAGCTCCCCTTTGGTTGTAGTAAGTCTATTGTATGAGTAAGTCTATGTATAAGTCTATGTATGTACAGTATGCTAAAGTAAGTGAATTCTTCTATTGCTTTCAGAATTGAATTTCAGGTTTTAGAATAGCGTTATAAACCCGGGCAGGTATGGGATGCTGGGCCTACCCATCACCTCTCCTTCCCTAGAGTTTTCAAGGGATGGAATTCAAAGACAATGACAGTGGCAATGAGATAGGTAGGCCCTCAAGAGAACCCAAGGTGACCTTCTCATCCAGGACCTGGGGCCTGGAGAAGAGGGGAAAGTGTGGCTCTTGCCTTTGAGGAGAGTAACCTCACCTGCTCAGGGAAGGTCATGAGCTTTGGACAATCTATGGGAATTCCTCCTGAGGGAGTTAGGAGGGAGTAGGCCTAGTATCCCTAGCATTAGTAGGGAAGCAGGAAGTCTGCCCAATGGAAATAGAGTGGTTAAGACTACAGGCCAGAGAATACAATGCTCCACCTAACAGCTGTTATTCAACCTCATTCCCTAGCATTTCATCTGTAAAATATGAATGACTGCAGTGGTGTCAAGGATTAGCTGAGATAAGCTATGTGTATTGTTCAGTAAATGTGAGGTTTTCTGTTGTTTTAAGGTCTGCCTCCATGCCATACCCTTGAGCAGCTCATTTTAGCTAGGACCTGAGGAAGCCTTCCAATGCTGGCAGAATGAGGAGACCATAGAACAAGAATCAGCAATCTGTGACCAATTTCTTCTCTTCAGAACTGTACTTGCCCAACTGCCCTGGTTCCACCTTTTCTGTCTAGCTCCTCACCCTCAGATGGTCCTGGGAGCTGGAAGCCTGGGCAAGATAGCTGGGACTCTGCTAGATGGGACTTGGTTCTCAAATGTGCTTTTGATGAGGTACAACTGTGATTTTTCTCAAAATATTCACTCTGACTTAACTGTCATTCAGTTGAAAGTTATCCCAAGCAGTTGTTTTCTCATTTGTCCTCAGTTGGCTCCTTGTGGAACCAAAAGCTGAAAATGGCACGTTCCTTTCCCAGTCTTTAGAGTTCATTTTCACTGGTGTGTTTTACATATATCAATAACAATAGGCCATCATAGATATTGCTGAGGCATAGAGTTAGATGTTAGATTCTACTAAAGTGTGGCTCTTTTTTGAGATCCTCCTGCCTCAGTCTTTGGAGTGCTGGGATTGCAAGGATGTGCCACCATGCCTGGCTAATGTGAGGTTTTTTTTTTATCAACGTGCAGAAGTAGAATTGAGATACCATACAGTAGGCTTACAATACTCTGAGTTTTTCTTAGCTTTCACCCCATAATGTTTCTGTTGAAACCAAGTGACAGAATAAGAAGCTTGGCAAAGAAAAGTCAGGGATAATTCTGAAATGAAAATATTCACAAATTGCATGTATTTTAGAATTGGGTCAGTGATATGCCTCTCCTCCCCTCCCCTCCTCTCCCCGCTCCCCTTCCCTCCCTTTCCAGTTCCTCCTGGCTAAGCCCAAAAGAAACTTCCTGGAAGTGAAGGGAAGGGCACTGTCCAGAACATATGACACCCAGATTCCAGGTCCAGTCCTGCCACCTCCTCACTGAGCAATCTTCATCCATCTGGGTCTCAGCTTCCTTATGTATAAATTAGTAGGGAGGGGCTGGTTCCATGAGACTAAGGAGCTCTCAAACTTTCATAACTCTTGTGCATTCTACCTTTCTAGCTTAGGACCTAGCAGGTCTCAGCAGCTGGCCACTTAGCTAATCCCCCAAAGCAGATAAATGCCTGCAGGAGAACTGAGAATCAACCCTGATCACAGCAGAATCCAACTACTCTAATAGATACTGGTGCCTTTGGCTCCCTCACCCATCCACCAGCCAACCCAGGGACAAAGCTGGCTGGAAAATTGGATGGATATGTTGGAAGGACCAGTGCCATCTCCAAACACAGCATCTGGGAAATGCCCATGCCCCTGGAGGGGATTGCGGAAACCGTTCACATTGCGGTGCTGTGCAAGAATCAGGCAGACCAGGTTTTGCATGTTGCTCCTGCCACTTGTAAGGGCTCCCCTCTGGGCAAGTTGGTTTGAACTGCTTCATATTCCTCCTTCATATAATGAGAGTAGCCATCTGTCCTCATTGCTTAATTGTGGTAAGGAGCAAGGTCCTTAGAGGCCTCACAGTAACTACAAAGCATAGGTCCTCCAAAGGACTTAGGAAACTGCAATAGTTGTTGTCGTCCTGTGCCCTTTCTTCACAGGAGTCTCTCAGGGGACTTGGGTTTGAGCTCCTGGCTGTGGCTGGGAAGCCTTGGCTTCTGGCCCCAAGCCCAGCCATGCCAGGGAGCCTGGTTCAGAGATGCTGCTGGGGTGTGATTAAATTCTGAGTGAGGAGCTCCAGCATTCTGGCCCAGAGCAGAAAAGCCAGAATATCTAGCATACTTGGTGTGGATCCCTAATGAAGATATTTTTCAAAACTGCCCTTTTCGAGGTCTCCGTCCCCTTTCCTCACTTCTCTCTGGCCCCTTCTCTCTGTGCCTGCCAGAAAAGGAAAACAAAACAATGTGAGGCCCTTCCTTCCTTCCCCCATCTGAAGAGCAGAAGATGGGAGGCAAGGAAAGGCTGTTTCCCTTGCAGAAAACCTGACCACTCGAGGTGGCTGCATACCCATTGAGGCTCAAGTCCCCAGCTCAAGTCTGCCCTCCTGCAGATCCCTGTTTTCTTAGCAAAGCTCAGCAAAGCTCTCAACTCTCTCCTTTATCCTTTATCCCGACAGCGTCCAAGTGCTCTGCTGGGAAGGGCGATTAAATAGCACTAAGTGTATTTTTCCATTTTCCAGGATCCACCTGGTAAAAATAAAATAAAACAAAATAAAGGGAGGCCCAGGGCTGAACTGTCATTTTTTTTTTTTTTTTTAAAGAGAAGGGGGAGGTGGTCACATGACTGCGAGTAACTGATTTAAAAGCCAAGTGGCTGCAACTCGGAGTTTGCTGCAGAGCCGCCCCTCCCGGCTGGAGCGCTGACGTCACGGAAAAGCCCCATCGCGGGCGGCCGGGCTGCTATAAAGCGCGGGCCTCGGCGGCTCCGGGCAGCGGGCGCGGACGGCGGGCACGGCGGGCACGGCATCCCAGCGCGGACCCACGCACCCACCCGAGTAAGGGGCGTCCCGGAGGGGCTCCCCCGGAGGCGCGGGGCGCGGGAGGGCAGAACTTTCTAAGTTGGGAAAAGAGCCCCTGGACAACGCGCGGTCTGCACAACTTCAGGTGCAAAAAGGATGCTTCAGGAGGGTCCCCGCCTCCGGCAGAGCGGTGGCCGGCAGGCAGCCCTCAATGACATTGGGCTTTCCCTGTCTGAATGCAATCGGCCAACTAAGGGACACTGGCGGGTGTCCCGGTTAGTGGCGAGATGTTGGGGTGTGGGGTGTGGGTGAGAGTTGCGCGTTCCGCTCTCTCACGCGTGGATCTTGCTGACTCAAACGTGGGAGCTTAACTTTATGCCACGCAGCCTAGGGGAACAGATCTAGGTGTCCCGCGAGGCGCTCTTGCAAGGATAAAGTTGGACGAAGTTGTGAAATGTCATTTAGGAGAGTCTTTGGCCTTCTTAATTTGCCTCAAGAAGACGGGAATGTCGGAGAGGACGTGGTTTGATAAGAGTGAAGCACTTCCCCTGCGAATTTGATAGGTCTCTCCCTGCCAGAATGATTAGGCTTGAGGTTGGGATGTTTTAAACCTGGGATCTATAGGCAAGAGGGCAGAGCTGAGGCATAATCTCCGCAGTGTCTCTTCAAGCAGCTGGTGAGCATCAGGGCAACTTTACTAAACATGGAAGTTCCCCAAAGTGCCTGTCCAGCCCAGCCAGGGGGAGTGATGTCATTGCCACGTGTTTCCCACTGAGGCACAAAGGGCTGCAGGATGCTGGTGCAATGAAGAGCCATGTTTAGACAAGAGCAGCTAACCTGGCCAGCTGTCCCCAGCAGCACTGACTTGTTGCTCCTCAAAGCGTCTCTGGAGGCTGTGGGTTCTGTCCCTCAGCCTTTGGGCCAGCTCTGAGTGGGATCCCAAGCTTATTTAAGGATGGGGGAAGCTTATGGGCAGTGGGCAATGATAATGGTGCTGTTTTCTCTATGTAAATGATAGCCTGCCTGTGTGTGTCCAGTTGAAAGCTTGGCTTGCTGGGGCTTGGGGACTGCTTCATTGGGATACTTGCTTCTCACCCATCTAATAAAATATCACTGATGACTGACTGTGTGTTTGAGTGCCCTGAGTTCTAGCTTATGCTTACTAATGCTGGTGTCTTGGTCTCTTTGCTTCCTAGGACCCCACGATGACTCTGAATAATGTCACCATGCGCCAAGGCACTGTGGGCATGCAGCCACAGCAGCAGCGCTGGAGCATCCCGGCCGACGGCAGGCATCTGATGGTCCAGAAAGAGCTCCCTCCGTACAACCATGGCAACCGCCACTCTGCGGCCCCTGAGGACCATTGTCGCCAGAGCTGGTCCTCTGATTCCACAGACTCCGTCATCTCCTCTGAGTTGGGGAACACCTACTACCGTGTGGTGCTTATAGGGGAGCAGGGGGTGGGCAAGTCCACCCTGGCCAACATCTTTGCAGGTGTGCACGACAGCATGGACAGTGACTGCGAGGTGCTGGGAGGTAGGTGGCTCAGCCCAGTGGGCTTTTGTCCCTTAGCAGTGATCCATGCAAAAAGAGCGAGCTTGAGTGGGTCATTTACCTGCAGAGCTGAAAGAATAGTTATGTATTCTTGGCAATGGATGAGGGAGCTGGGTCCCCAGAAAAGCCCAGACACAGGCCCTCAGGTCAGGAAAATGAAAATGCTTGTAGATGTTGAACCTAACTCATAAAGGGAATTTCTGAAATTCCAAGTCTGAAGGGTCTCAGCAGGCTGATTAAAGATGACTGAGCAGGAGGTAAGGATCCCACTTCTGGCTTTTGCTGATTCTGACCTGGACCATATTTGAAGAGCTCAGTATAGACACAGTCTTCTTTCATGCTTATACATTTGTAAAAAAACTGTTAGGATGGATTCATCAGTTTGTGTCCATCAATATTAGAGACTTTTGTGAGCATAAAATAATTCAAACTCTGTATTCAAAATAGTATAGTAATTAAAAACTTTTTTTGACAGTACTGAGATTTGAACTCAGGACTGTGCTTGTTAAGTAGGTGCTCTACCACTTGAGCCACACCCCTAGCCCCAGAGTCTGACAGTTTGTAAGACAATTTTCCCTGTAGTCTTATTTCCAATATTTATTTATTGTATCCTTACCTATTTCCCATACTGTTCTGAGGTGACATTATCTCATCAATGTCTGTATCTGGGATCAAATGCAGCCTTATATTCTGGGATGTAACATGAGGATCCTATTAGCCATCAGAATCCATACAGTGTCCTTTAGCCCTGGCCTCAGTCTTAGCCTGTGTGACCAAGGCAGCAGTATGTCCCTATTTACAGTGACAGAAATGAAGGAAGAACTGTTGTGTGCTTGCCCACGTCACATTGTCTGTCCCTAAAGTCACTTATGATTATGCACAACTGAATCACAGACTTCCAGGTAGGAAGATGGCTTAGTGATGACTCACTTGTCCTTCTCACTCCATGTGTATGAATCGTACTCCTCACTACAACAGCACATTTCATCTAAGGGTTTTATTCATCTTGATTGTCTCAGCGTCAGGGAGTTCACTGCTTACAGAGGCAGCTCAGGAACTAGGCCATAAATGATGACTCATTGATGTAACATTGATTTGTCTCTCACTTCCGGAATCTCAGGGACTACAGCTAAGCAAGAGTCAGGGGAGAAACAGGGCCAGTGTCATACAGTGGATTCTCTTTTTCTTTGTGCAAACTGGTAGATGGCTGTGGCTAGAAGAGAGGAAGAGAAGGAAGGAGCTAATAGTTGGAGTGAACATTTACAATGGAATTTGTAGATTGGTTAGGTGCTTTATAGTCACCATTGTTTGTTTTGGTCCTCACCAATAGTCCTGTATTCATATGAGTAAACAGAGTCTCAGGGAGTCTGAGTAGCAGATCTGGAATTACCCAGTGGGGAAGCTGGGTTTAGAATTTGGGATTTTATAATCTTAGTTTGGTGCTTCCTGGTTCATTCTACCATTGTACCTGCTCTTTGCTGGCACTGTGCTAAATACTTGTAATACTTCCAAGAACAGAACCTATATAGTATTAATATTCACATTTTACAGGTGAAGAAAGGGAGGCTTACAAACTCATGGCACTTTCCCAAGGTGAAAAGCTATACATGGTATGGCTAGGATTCAAACCCAGTTGTGGTTTTACCCTAATCCTTCTTCCACTGTCCCCTGCAGTCCCAGGATTCAACTTCCAAATGCCATCAAGTGCTCAGGATATTGGGTGGCTCTGTGCCAGGCTCTGGGAAACCCAGTGATGGGTGAGCCTCACCATATCCTCTTAGTAAGGATCTCAGTGTCAGTGGCCATAACTCAGAGCAGGGTGAAGTTAAAAAGTAACCATAAAGTGCTTTGATGATTGACATAAGGAGGAGATCAACAGAGAGGACTTTTTATTTGTCTAACGTGTTTTTAAGAGGGAGGAATCAAAAAGTTAGTGGACATTCAAAAGTGGGTTTCCATTAGAAAGGGATGGTATCTATGCAGCGGGTGGTATGCCATAGACATAAGACCTAGTCACACATGGCATTTGGAAAGGCAGTCTTCTGTATTGGGAAAGTTCTTTGTTGGAAGAGAAGGAGAGGAGGAGAGAGAATCTTTTCCTTACCCCCACACCAACCTTTGACAGTGAGAAGCTTCTCAGGTGACTCATCCCATCTTACATGTCCTGTCTGAGTAACTGTTGGGATCACCAGATAGCTTTGTGCTTCACAACAGGAAGGTTTTCCAAGGCACACCCCTGCATTGGTTCTCTTCTTCTTTTTTTTTTTTGGCATTAACCATAAGAGAATCTACATAATATTCTCATCACTATTTCTCCTAATAAAGATGGATGTTGTATAGTTCTACTGCGACAATCTTGTGACTGTCTGTGCGCATTTGTTGCCATTCATTCATTTCTAAGCCGTTACTGAACATACACCACAGCACTTGGGGAGGCAGTGTGGGGACATGCAGAGTCCCGGGACTCCCTCCTTAGTGGTGGTCACAGTGTGCAGTGGAAGGCAGACAAATACTGACTCCAAAGCAAGCTAGGAGAAGGAGAAAGTGCTACGAAAAAGTGGAATTCAGAGGAGAAAAGAGTTCTGGCTGTGGAAATCAGAACAGGCTTCATGGAAGAGGTGATCTCTGAGGCCAGCCAGGACCTGGGAGCCCTAAGCTAGGTGAGAAGGCTCTGTGCACACACACAGGAGACAGGATAGAATACTGGATTGGAGTCGATGAGTGGTTTAGGTTCCTGTGGTGACACTTATCTGGGGTTCTCAGACAAGTCACGTAACTTCCTGAAGCCTCCTCATTAATCTAGTCCAGGTGATACTGCACGGGTGGAGTGAGGAATTAAGAAGAGTCGTTGCATGTGCCTCGGGGCAAGTGGTGCAGAACCACATAGGTAGTAGGAGATGGTTCACAGCCACATGGTATCTGTTTCATTCATTGGATAAATTTTTGTCAAGCACCCAGTACCTGATGTGGGTATCAGGGGATACAGTAAGCATAGTGTAAACCTCTGCCCTAACATCTGGGGAGTGGGAGACAGCAAATAGGAAGATAAGTCAGTTACATGTGTTGTGTGTTAGATGATTGCCAATGCAAAGAAAAAACCATAAAACAGGAAAAGGAGTAAGAAGTATTGGTGGGAGAGAGGTGTTGAGTTTCTGAATCAGTGAATAGGAAACACTTTCCCCAAAGCAAGGGGACAAGACTATAGATAGAGAACGGAAGAGATTCCAGGCAAAAGAACCAAAAAGAAAAATGAGAAATCAGCTGCTCAGCAGGCAGAGACTGGGAGGATTATAGTTCGAGGCCAGCCCTTTCAAAAAGTTAGTAAGACCCTATCTCAGCAAATAAATGAGGTGTGGGGGGGCAGGCCTGTAAGGAGGAATAGAAAGAAGGATCACAGCCTGAGATCAGCCCCAAGCAAAATGAGACCTTATCTGTAAGCAAAAAGGGTTGGTTTATGTTCCAAGTGTGGCAGAGCATTTACCTAGCAAGTACAAAGTCCTGAGTTCAAGCCCCACTACTGCCAAAAAAAAAAAAAGAAAACTGATAAATCATTGTGAAAAATCATAATTTTCAAATGATGAAATTCAAAATAGGAAAGCTTAGAGTAGGGATGGGCTCAATAGTGTGGGGTTGAAGGGAATCCATCTTGCAAAAGCCCCAGTGAGGCTGGAGCTCCTCTCTGTGCTGCAAGTGAGCTGACTGCTGCTCTGTTGCTGTACTTAGCTGAAAACCAAGTCAGTTAGTCTGAGGCAACTGCATAATTTTTTTTTTAAAGGAAGAAAAACTACAGCCCAAACAAGGACAGTCTCATATATTTTTCTTACACTTTTCCAAAGAGGAGAAATGTCTCTGAGCTCAAATCTCCTGAGATTGCCAGCAAAGGCTGAGAACTACCCACTGCAAGGTAGCACTGAAAAGCTTAGGACCAAATGAGCTTGGAGTTAATGCATCCTTATCCCCTCATCCGTTCATTCTGAGTCAAAAGCTCTTTTTTTTTTTTTCCCAGTATTGGGATTTTAACTCAGGGTCTACACTTTGAGCCACTCCACCAGCCCTTTTTCTGTGATGGGTATTTTTGAGATAGGGTTTTGCAAACTATTTGCTCAGGTTGGCTTCGGACTGCGATCCTCCTGACCTCTGCCTCCTGAGTAGCTAGGATTACAGATGTGAGCCACCCGTGCTGGCTCAAAAGCTCTTAAGTGAGTTTATCCTCCTAAATGGTTTTCCTATATAAAAGGTCCAAGAATGATGAAAATGAGCATCCTTTAATTCTAGTGGTTTAGTGATACACACTGCAGAGAGGTAGGCAATGTATTCAGTGAATACCAGAGGGTTTCCATCACCTGTTGTTGAAAACAGTCACTTATCTTTGTGAATATTTACATAATTGGTTGCATGTTTAGTAAGTATATATTTTTAATAAAATTTTTTATTAGGATATATTCATTTTACAGGGGGGAGTCATAGTGACAATTCCGATTAGACTTATATTGTGCATTATTTACATTGCCCCCATCATGTCTCCCCCTCTACCCCCTCCCCACCCTACTTAAAGCAATTGCAAGAGGTTTTTTAGTTCTTTGTAAGTGTATTTTTAGCATGACTTTCTACATTACCTTTTATGTCAAAGTGTCGCATATTCACCTGACTCCAATATCAACCTTCTTTCTTTTCCAGAAGACACATATGAGCGCACCCTGATGGTTGATGGGGAGAGTGCGACCGTCAGCCTTCTGGACATGTGGGAGAGTAAGGTACGAGGAACCTGCAGCTCTCAGTGGGTTTGGTCAGGGCTTGCCTCTCGGCAGGCTGTTTAGTGCAAGGGTAGCCCTGCCCTACATAGTGCTGTTGTACTGAGGTGGGCTTGTTTCCTTGCTTAAACTGTTTACTTGGGAAAAACAATATGGTTGGAAGGCACAAGCCACTCACAGATGAGTAACAAACACTTGTTACAAGCACTCTGAGTAACAAACAAGCTGTAGTGCTTTGCCTTTAGTGCTATTAAAAAACACAAAAAGCATATTTGTTTTAGGGAAAGTTCAAACAAGCATGAACGGTTATTTTCAATGACAGAGAATCATCTTGTATGAAGTTGACATTCTCGATACGTGTCTTCGACATTTGCTTTTTAAAGGTTTTGGGCTTCTCAGCATATATTTGAGGCTTTCTGTTTGTTGAGAGCCTTCCTATTCTCACAAAAGGATTCTTAATTTTGTCTCTTGGGAAAGACAAAAGGAAGTTTTTGGAAAGTCAGAAAAAGCCCATTTTTGGTAACTTAGATGCAAGTTGGAAATACTGCTTGGCAGAGTTGTTATGTAATTTATCAACTCAAGCTGTAGGAGAAATGGGAAAATAAAACCTTTTGGGCATAAACACTATGCAGGATAGCAATCTTAACAGCTCCCAGATAGCTTGTAGTCATGGATGACTGACACATTTTGGGGAGTGGGAAGCAGTCTTTTTCCTTTCTGTTATCAGCAAATTATCTAGGATACACATTTTGTTCCTTCAAAGTGAGTACTCATTTCCCAGGCCAATTTGAGCTCATGGGAGATTTCTTGTTTCATTAGGGGGAGAATGAATGGCTCCACGACCACTGCATGCAGGTTGGGGACGCCTACCTGATTGTCTACTCCATCACAGACCGAGCAAGCTTTGAGAGGGCATCTGAGCTGCGAATCCAGCTCCGCAGAGCCCGGCAGACTGAGGACATTCCTATCATTTTGGTTGGCAACAAAAGTGACTTAGTGCGGTGCCGGGAAGTCTCTGTCTCGGTAAGAGGGGTGGGCCCATACTGTGGAAACCATCCCTGGATCACATGAACTTGTCTTCATATAGGTGCTTCTTCCTTCCTCTTGCATGAGGCTGGACTCATTAAAATGCTGCATGGCGTCTGATGTGTACCTTGTAAGACTCTACAGTCCCAGTGGACTATCTTCCAGGTGGTTGCTCGCCTTTGTCCATCTGCCTGCAGATTCCAATCTCCTCGCCTGGCTTGGGGTGGTGGCCTGAAAGTCCTGTAGGGAAGAGACCATGCTTGGTGATTTACTGGCTCTTTATCCTTTCCTTTCTCTGATGCCAAGAGTTTGGGAGAGGGGAAATAATATCTTCATGCAAGGAGGCTAGGGAACTCTGATTTAGGGGAACTGTGGGAAAGAGTTTCACTAAGAAAAAGAATTATGTTCTGGCTGCTGCTAGTTCCTTTAAACTCTAGATATATCCTCCCACCCCTCATGGCTCCCTAAATTTCAGTTAAGGCATCAGTCTGATGGACACATATACTTTTTCATAGTTGGTTCAAGGATAATTTCTACTTGCTGAGTGGGCAAGTGCTTTTAAGGATCTTGAGATTTTATTGGCCTAATACAGATTTGGTCCCTGATACAGCTGTAAAAATAAAATACAGCCCTGCTCAGGGGCAAAGACACCCTGGCAAGGCAATGCATTCAACTACTGGTAGACGCGTCTTTACTACCTTGACATGACCGTCTACAGTAATCATTTCCCACCAGACCAAAATCTGGACACGTGGTTCTGAACACAATGAAATATTTGAAATTGAGACTGTTCCAGAAATCTTGAATAGTTTGATATGACTATTCATTTGTAAAATCCTCAATTTTTTCCCCAAATATCTTAACACTACTTTCTTTCTTTCTTTTTTTTTTAAAGAGAGGTAAGCCAAGTAGTAGAATTCTAATTTTCAATTTGGGTAACTGAATCAGGAGAAAGGGTATGGGTTTAAAAACTAAGCGGAATTCACTGTCCCAGGCTGTGGGAACGCCCTGAAGTTTTTAAAAGACCCCACTCAATTTCTTCATCTACCTGATGGGGATAATTTATTTTCTATTAAGTTTATGAGGATTAAAAATGTTTATAAAGAACTGAGGCTGGATTTTGGCTTGTAGTAAGGTCCACAATAAATTAAGGCTATGGCTTTTGCTGCTATAATTAATATCACTATATTTGATGAAATTGGACCTCCACACAGTGAGTTTGTGGTGGACCAGCTGTAATAAAGCCCATATTTCTTGTATCCAGGGATCCTCCTGTAACTTCTTCTCTGTCTGCGCTGAGGGTGGACATGTCACAGTGGCCTTCTCTGTCCATGAAATAGCTGACTGACTGAGCGCTGTCCTGAGGGCATTCTGAACAGGAGTCCTCAGGCTTTCCTGTGTGCTGTGTAGGGTTGTGGTCTGCAGCCCCTCTCACTTTCTTCTCTCCTTTTCCTTCCCAGAAGGGAGAGCGTGTGCAGTGGTGTTTGACTGCAAGTTCATCGAGACTTCCGCGGCTGTGCAGCACAACGTGAAGGAGCTGTTTGAGGGCATCGTGCGGCAGGTCCGCCTTCGGAGGGACAGCAAGGAGAAGAATGAGCGGCGGCTGGCCTACCAGAAAAGACGTGAGAGCATCCCCAGGAAAGCCCGGCGCTTCTGGGGCAAGATTGTGGCCAAAAACAACAAGACCATGGCCTTCAAGCTCAAGTCCAAATCCTGCCACGACCTCTCTGTGCTCTAGGCGCCCACTGTCACCCAGATGCCATCCTGATGGACATCGTTGGTGGCCATCGAAGCCAGTAATCTATATTAGATTGGATACTTAAGTATTGTTAGACATGGCTTCCCCTGTTGCAGCCGGGAACTAACCACGCAGCCTCCTGGCAACGGAATGCGTGAGAAGTGAAAGATCTCCGTCAAGAGTCAATATCTATTCATTGGAAAAGCCTGACCGTGTATGTGGATACCCAAGACTCATGATAGGGTGTGTTTGGGGCTCCCATGAGTTTTTTCCCTTCCTTTGTATAGGAGAGAATTGAAGCTTATTTAAAAAATGCCTAGGAAAGGAACTTTTCATCGTTAAAATTTTGTCCAGTGTTCTTATATTGGATTTTGAGCCATTAGGTCATAAATATAGGAAAGCTGTCAAAACGTTTATTCAAAAGAGAACTTTCTATACACCCTATCTTCATGGAGCTAGAACTTTATAACTGGCCCCATCATGGTTGCCACCTCTGCTCCATTAAACTGTGAAAAGAAGTGAAGGACCTTGCTGGAAACTAAAGCATGAGAGTGTTTGTTCAATGCCTGGAGGGGGATTTGTAGAATTGACAACTGATGTGTGTACCACTTATAGAGTCAAAAATTATATCTTTACTTGTGTGTCTTATAATTTTTTATTTAGGCGAAATTATTTTCTTCAAAGTCTACTTAGTCAATTCACCTTTTATGCTTTATTCTTTTTGAAATTGTGGAGCCATCATAAAACTGTTTTTAAAACCTGAGTTATTGATAACCTGCAGTGTAAAATGCCAAATTTCTCACTGTAATCAAAGTCTGAATTTTTATAAAACATGTAACATAAAAACTTCCAGTACTTTGGGTTGAACCTTGTATTCCATAGCTCTGCTCTATTTATTATTATTTTGCAAAGTAATCATTTTAACATTTGATAACATATTTATGAGCATATTTCTTAGTAAGAAAAATGTCCATTTTGTTACCATTTTGTATCTTTTTCAAAATATGCAAGTTTTTACCTATATGTCTTCTAATAAAAGGAATGAAATCTTTGAAAAGAAAGACATTCTATTTTCTTCCCCAAACAAGACAACTATGATTATCTTTCTATCACTTTTAGAACAAGCATATTCCAAAGAGACAGACCTATTAGCTTCTTTCTTTTCCTCGTCAGCAGTGGCCCAGTCATTATCTGTTTTAGAGTATCCTGGTCATCTCTCCTTAGGAATCATAATTCACAGGATTGCAAAGTTATTTTTGGTTGATTCAATTGGGAAATATTTGGGGTCATTTAAATGCTATGTAGAGTCAAAGCTGATTGACCTTGTACTTCTGTCTGACATATCCCTGACTGAACAGATGGGCCCCCTTTTGTTCTCTGAGGGCTCATGGTCTTAAGCTTGACTAAAGCATTAACGGGAGTTAAAAAAGATTAGAGAAGGGGAAGAAAACTAGTGATTTTCGACCTAATCTCTAGCCAGGCAAAGCTTTATCCAGATTCTCCTTTCTATCACTAATACATTAACCATGTGGCATCTCTCCAAGGGCCTTTTGCGACCCTTTTGAAGGAGTGGAATCTCCTGATGTTCTCCTTTCCCTTCTTCTCTGGCCCCTACTAAAGCCTCTTTCACCTCCCTGTCTTTCTGAGTTTGAAGTCAGACATACTGGTTGTGACAATCTTAGAGCCTTGCAGCTTGTCTAAAGCCACATGGTTTTAAAGGGCATCTCTGCTGTTTAGTCAGTCACTTCTTTTTCAAGCTGAGGGCAAAAGTTCCACTTCTCCACACTTTGCATCTTTGAATTGCTCTAAGAAATCATGCTGGGAGTAATAAGAGGAGAGATTCAGGTTGCACAGGTCTGGGGTGAGTCTTGGTTATGCTTTTTGACATTGGTTTGTCTTTGGAGTAAAGATTAAATGTTTTTAGGCATCCATTTTCTCATCTGCAAAATGGGTTTGCTCATAATGCCTACCTTGTGAGGGTCTTGTGGGATTAACACCTTTTAATTTGCCGTGCAGTAGTGAGCTAAAAAAATGTTAGTTTTGCTGGGCTCAGTGGCTCGTTCCTATAATCCCAGTTACTTGGAAGTGGAATATAGAAAGATCAGGGTTCAAGGACAGCCTGGCCAAAAAAGTTAGCAAGATTCCCCCATTCCAAGAGAAAGCCAGGTGTTATGGTATGTGGCTATAATCCCAGCTGTGTAGGAGGTGGAGGACCATGGTCCTAGACTGTCCCTGAGCAAAAAGCGTGAGACCCTATCAAAAAAATAACTAAAAGCAAAAAAGCCTAGAGGTGTGGTTCCAGTAGAACACCTGCCTAGTAAACACAAGGCCCTGAGGTCAAACCACAGTGCGTCCAAAAAAAAAAAGAAATGTTAGTTTTCACTGTTCCTTGCTGCACATCTTTCATGTTACATAGATTAGGGCTGGTTTTATATATCTATTTCCTTCATTTCAAACAGAAACTCCTTTGAATCGGTGACCACTATGTCTTTTCCTTTTTATCCTCTTGAGTGCAGTGCCCTGCATGGGCTGAAACTTTCAAAACTGCTTGAATTGCATAGATCCTCCAGTGGTTCTGGGAGGTGACAGTAAACTGGTTCATGGGGACAGTAACTGCCCAGGTCTGAATGTTCAGATGTTAAGTGTCTGGACCAGGCCTGGAGTCAAAATATGACAATTGGTCATTTGAATATTCTGGTCTCCAAGATGGTTTCCAATAAAGTCAGACCCTTTATTCCCATGTAGCACCCCATAAAGCACTCACACACACACACACACACACACACACACACACCTAGTACACACTCACGCAGCACACACACACCCAGAACATACACACATAGCACATGCACAACACACACACACAGTACATACAGTACACACTCATGCACACAGCATACACACAGCACATACACACATAGTGTGTACACAGCACACACACTCATGCAGAGCTCACACGCATGGTGCACATACAATACACAGCACACACACTCACACAGAGTACACACACATGGTGCACACACAGCACACACACAGCCACACGCTCACAGCATACACACAATACACTCACACACAGAACACATGCACTCACACAGAGTACACACACACTCACGTACACAGCACACATGCATACATACACGCCTCCTACATAATCACGTCCTTTACACTGTTCTCTGCTCTCAGAGTCAACCTTCCTCACCACTCTCTCAGCCCTCCCCAGCCAAATGATCAACAGATTGCTGCCTCCTGGGCTTAGGGCTGTGCTTGGTATTAGCACACCAGATACCATGGCCCAACCTGGTGGGACACGCTGGCTGCTCTCTGTCCAAGAGACAGTGTGGTTAAGAGCTATAGCTCTGAGCCAGGCAGACCTGGTTTTCAGCATGTCCTGGAAATGTGACCAAGAGTGAATTTCTTATACGTCCAGCCTCGGTTTCCCATCTGTAATGTGGGGTGAGGATGATGTGAGCCTGTAGAAGTACCAGCCATCTTCAGGGGGTATAGCGACTCCTCCCCTCCGAGTACAGCACCAGCCCTGCCTCACTCAGGTGAATCTGCAGACATTATGCCACACCCAGGCGCTGACCATACCGAGGGTAAAACAGTGTCTAACACATTGTCCCTGTCCTCAGAAACCTTGAGAACAGTAAATCTGACTGTCCCCAAAGCCAAAGAAGGTGGCATTAGAAACAAGAAGAAAAAAAATTGTCTGAGTAGTATACCTGAAAGATTTACTTCCATTAGATAAAATCCAAATAAAGGAAAATTATTAAAATGATTGGATTAGATGTGGAAAAGTAAGTCAGGCTTTAAAAATTCCATTTTGGGGAAGCAGGGGTATGCAGGCTGCATTTTTGCTTCCCGACACAGGAAGCATTAGTGCAGACAAAGAGGCAGGCGATTTAGAATTGACTTGGCCACACACAAGGAGCTCCAGCCTCTTCAAGGGGCCATGGGGACACACAGTGGGACAAGTCAGCTTTGCTGTCAACAAGCTTAGCATATGATGCCTAGTGGCAGGGAGTGGCGTGCTGGTGAGGGAAGACAAGTGCACAAAAACCGGGAATGTGCTGTTGAAGATAATAGCTATCTGAGATGTGAGGTGAGGCGGTGGGAGTCGGGTGGGTATACAAACTAAGGACTTGGGGTTTTCAGCAGAGGAATGTAAGGGGATTCTGTATGTGTGTGTCTGCTCTTGTGCGTGCACTAGAGAACAGAGTAGAGGTAAGGCAAGGGAGGGCTCATGGTTAAAGGAAAAGAGGCTAATAAATCAGATTCCAGAAACTTAAAACAACACCTTCTCATATCGGCTAGACTCTCATCTCACTCCACATTTTGGTATGTTTGGCCGCCAGATGCTGTCGATGGTCTTAGTTATTTCAGAATCAACTGAGGAGGCTGAGCATTCAGGAGGCGCGTGCCCTTTCTAAAACTCAAGACAAATCATTGTTATTTAGGTTGCAGGGACTGTGGTCAAATAAGTAAAAACAGTATCTGACATCTTCTATTGGGCTGAAGTGTTTAACCTCTTGATTTAAAGTAGAGAAGTTATCCCTTTACTTTCAGGCCTTAAGAAAAATCAAAATGCAGGAGAAGTACTGAGAAATTCTGTTGCTAGCATCACTCAGAGGTCCCAAGACAGTTGTTGGAGACATATGGCCAAACTGGGTTAGAGAATGAGAACTTGTCTCAAAACAAAACATACCTGACGGGGAATTCTAAGCCCTCACATCAGTATTGGTAGAATGAATGTCTCTTCTGGAGAGAGAAACACCCCTGGTAGGTGTTCACCAATGTGCCCACCCAAGAAGGACATGTGTGTGTCTATCAGAAAACAGTCACAGAACAAATTTACGAGGGGGCACAACTCAAGCAGTTAGCCAGATATATTTGAAAGTAGTAATTTCTTTTTCTGTAAACATCAAGCTAGACGAGGCAATGAAGTAGGAGTGGAAATCCTATTAAAAAATCCAAAGGAAATTGCCTCGTGATTCATCTAT